CCATTCCACTTTGTCTTGATGAACCTCCACACCTTGATCAGGATCAAATGCAAATTGAGGTATTGATGAGACAGAGTGAGGAGATATATGAAACAACAAATCTCTCAATTCCATCAAAATGTTGCCCTGAAATCAGAGAGATATTGAAATTGAAAAAGCAGGATTCTATCAGGTCTGAAAGTAAAATTACAAAGAGTTAGGTTAGAAAATCTGAAACTCAAGAAGGATGTGAAATGTCTCAAGAAAAAACTTGCCGAGTTCTCCGAATCACGAAAAAAAGAAAGCGCTTATGTAAAATTGTTGGAAGGACATTTTTCTTCTGCACAATCACATGTTCTCAAGGGAGGAAAGAAAGCTCTCTCCCCCAAAGCATTCACATACGTTCGAGAACAACTGAAAATTCCACTTCCTGGCCTATCAACCTTGACCAAGTGGTTCGGAAAATTAATATATCCCCAAAGCATCCCCCCACCCTATCGAAGCGAGCTAAAGCGAATCATATCCCAGCTGTGACGTCACTACACGCACATTCACGTGCCTCAAGTGACTGCGCTCCCTCCTCGGCCGCTAGGCGCGTGAGCCACTCGAGCCTATCTGATAGTCTATGTATCTTGCTAATTTCCCGCTTCAACGTCCGCGTGATCCTCCTATATTCCTCATAGTCCGTGCTATCTCCCGTCCGCATCCCATTTCTGCTTTTTATCCCTGATGAGAGCTTTGATTTTACCCGTAAACCAGACCGGTTGCCTGCCCGAGTTTATGGATTTCTTGGGGATGCATTCCTCCATAAAGCCCTGCAATAACGTCTTGAACGCCCCCCATTGCTCCTCTACCGTCAGCCCACGGAGCCGCACCTCCCAGTCGATGCCTGAAACGCATTCGCGTAGTCTCTCGAAATTAGCCTTCTTATGGTTGTACGAAACCTACCTCGGTTTGGCGTTACTCTTCGACCGCTTGATATTCCACGTGATCGCGCAGTGGTCCGAATCTCCCAAAGTTTTCCTGTACCTTAACGTCTTGTGCCAGATCGTCGTTCGTCGCATCCATGTTGATACGCGGAGTGCAGGCGTGCCGCTTCCGAGTGTCCGATCCTATTCTATTACTGGTCCTTGGTGCCACTATAGCTCACTTCAAAGCCCCTCAAAGCTGAAAATTGAGGTTCATAAGCAGGCTTTCAAACGCCCTTAAGCCCGAAACGAGGTAAATTAGATCCTAAAGAAAAGACCCCATCCGTATCTTCTGAATAGAGATAAGAAGGGTACACATGTGTGCCTTATTTTGCTTCAGTACCTTTTCAAGCCAGCAAAAAAGTAAAAACTAGTACCGATCCGGAAGCATGATGATTCATACCCTCTGTGGTTTCAGTGTCAACGTATGAAACCAGAATGTATAGTTAGTGGTAGTAGTAGTAGTTAGTGGTGAACTGCTGGCCAATGCATCCATGAAGCCTTCAAATTTGAAGTGGCATTAAGATCGAAATCACTCAAAATTGAAGGAAGAACCAGCCGAGTTCATGCAAAGGAAGCTCGAAGAGGTAAGGAAACCCGAAAGGAATAATGAAGGTATCATCTGTGCCCAGAGCAATAGGGTAGATGCACCAGTTTGTGGACGGACGCCTATTTGTGGACAGTTTTGCGTTTTTTGCCATTTCACAAAATTCACGCCAAAAATTTATTTCCTCAAATACTCCATATTTTGCACGTGCCTGTCAGCCCCCATATTAATTATGCATGAGTGAACTTGGACGTTTTCGCTTAGTTTTATACCTAGCACCCCTGAATTCCTTAAATTTCCCAATTATATTTCTTAACAGGACATCATTGAAGATGAATAAAACTGCTGTACATATCTCATGCCCATATTTTTCTGTTCAGCCGACGCACGTTAATAAATGTTTAGAAAAACTGGTCCACAAATTGGAACCAGGCCGTCCAGAAATAGGAAGCACGTGAAAATCAACACATCCATTTAAACGGCTATTGTTGGAAAATCTTTTTTTTAATACTTTATTTCAGGGTAAGGGCATTAAACTATGATAAGTGGCCTCCCATTGAAACCAATCAAGCAGTTTCTTGGTTACCCCAATGACCGTAATGCAATTCTCACGAGGAAAATTTCCCTAACCAGTAAACAAACTGGTGCCTTTACCCTTTATTGAAAGCGTCATTTCCGTATTTAAAAAAAATGCAATTTTTTTGCGTGTTACACTTGCATTATTTTTGGACGCCTCTAAATTTGTGGGTCGCACAAATATGGGAAGAGGGCTCGATGGGTCGCGACATAAAAAAGGTTGAGAACCGCTGCTATAGGTAATATTGTGCCCCTAATTAACCCATCTGACAACCACACGCCACGATAGCTCAACCACAGATCTCCACTGGTTGGGACTAAAGTCCGACATGACGTTTATACTACTTAGTTTATCGATGGAATCGAAGGGATCTCATAACCTCTGCCTAACATCTTGCAGAGAATGGTAATTCAGCTGCATCTGACAGGAGTCGCTCCTGAGAATCCCTGATATCTCCTAATAATTCCAGTCACTCTCCATCACAATATAATATGATTTTATTCTTACCATGAGAAATAAAATAATCTCAGGCAGGACCTTGACTTTTCTGGAACTCCAGAGTATGAAAAAATATAAAATATGGAAGAAGTGATAGAAATAGTGTTCTTTGGCTACAATCTATTCTCAAGGGGAATTCAAGTTTCGCATCATCTCATCTTATCGAGTCTATCCAATCCACTTACTTCACTCTGGGTTGACAGGCCTCCCAAGGGAGACTCAGACCTTCAGTCATGACTACTTTGCCAGCTTCAATAACCTCTAGATCCCAAGTGACATCTCTGTACATATATAATGCAACGACACTCCTGGAGTCTGCATCTGAGAAGCAGAGAATGAAGAATGCAGAAATAAATGTACTTCCACTTCTACTCATACCTCTTCCATGGCACTACAATTAACAAATAAAGTGGCAGCAGCATGAATGTCATTCATATCCATACTCTTTCCTCCTAGTTTCACTGGAATTAAGTCTAACTAGACAAAGATATTTGATAGGAAAAGAACAAGCCTCCAAGAAAATGTAGAAATTACATTATAAATGAAAATTAGTTTTCTGAGATAAAACAATCATTGCATGTCAAAGCAATTCAGTATCTAATATTTAAGGCTTCTCGAGTTTTCATGTTGCCAGAGGTTTTTTTTTTATAGTGGCATTTCCTCATAGGTAAACACAAAATCATTCATCAATTTCATCATAGTGGTTCAATCACAGACAAGGAGTCCTTGGAAGCATGATGCCAGAAAATACAGTGCCAAGACAATAAATAAACATACAATAAATGTAAAGGACAGAAAATAAAAAGTACTGACCACTGTTGGTATCTTTAAATTTGATTAAAACTTGATATCAGAATGTAGCAAAGTGTCATCTGAGTATGCATTTATCTGATTTAGGAATATCACATTTATATTGAAGACTGTTGTCAGCCCTCACAGAGGGAGGAAGCTTCTCAAGGAAGATTAGGAAGCCAGTGTTTCCAATTCCTGAAGAAGAGTGGGAGATATTTGGGGGATTTCTGGAGGTTCATATGGAATGTCAATCCCCTCCAAATCCAAGAGTCGAATCTTCACCTCCATTGAGAGAAGAGTCTCCAAATCCTTTTCATACTCTTTTGATTTCATGGGTGTGCCTGTAACAAACACCATTTGCAATCCCATGAATATGTGCCATCTAATTAGTAAGTCTCTTACACTGATTAAGTTCATCTGTTAGTTTCAAAAGCAGTCTAAGTCTGATTAATGAATTTTAAAAACAATTTCAAGCACTTCTCAAAGATATACTTGGAAATGGGACTGGAACACCATGCCCTCACTTGTGTGAGACCTTGGGGCTTCACTTATCCCATACATACAGACCAACTTGATCTCACTCTCTGACTTGGCCAACATTGAGCCAATTCTAGTTTCAGGGATGAATAAAAGCCTTCAGCTCTGTTGTCCTCAGAGGATATTAAAATTCAATCCATATAGCTTGAACTGAGGCAAGAACAATAGTAGAAGTACATACAACATTTATGGTACTCAAAGAATTTGTTGGTATCAGTCAGGCTATGTACAGGATCAAAAGTGATAGTGTAGAATACCTTAAATGAATACCTTAAATATACCATAATTTTATTGTTGTTTATGTGATGAGTATCACATTCTGCACACCTTTATGAAAATGCACTCATTCAGGGGGCAATAACATTTTAGGAAAGGTTAAACTTTCAGTGCAATGCCCTTCATAAGCAGAAACAAATATCAAGTCACAACTGAAACTCAGGAATCTTCTACAAATCTTGGATGCAAGCTGATAAGAAGCTGTTGATAGTTTGTATGACTCCAAAGGCCAGAGGTGTGAATTTCAGATGGCAAAGCAAATACAGTTCCTTCTGGGTATCAGATTCAGTCTAAGTCAATTTGGTCATTTTACCAGAGTACCCCACATATCACGGTTCCTCATGATGGGATTCTTTCATCAAGAAATGTCCATTATCATTGATGATAATGACCAATGATGCATTTATCCATATCTCGCCTCCATATTCTCAGGACTTGAGTCCTTGTAGCCATTGTAGGAAAAAAAAATTTATTTCCCATGAACCTAAGGCGATAAATAGAAATTTCCTGGGAAGAATATGTAAGCAGACTAAGTAGGCTGCCCGCCTGCGCATCTTTGTTCCTGTGAACCTTGTTCGCAGGTTCACAAGGGTTTTCCTAGCCTGCTTATAACCTTAATCAGTTTTCAGTCATGAAGTATGAGCTCCACGGAAAATACTTTGCCATGCCAGATGATGTGAATGCAATAGTAGCAATTGGTATAGAAGAGCATCCTGAAAAATGGGCTCTGTAAGGGACTGAAAAAGATGATGGAGTGCTGGACCAAATGTATTCAATTCCTTGGAGATTACTCTGAGCATTGAAGTAATTGAATATTTCTCTTTTTGATCACCATTCATATTTAATTTTAGAGAAGGGGCTATAGAAGTAATGTTCTCATTCCTCATTCACTCAAGTTCAAACATACAAAAAGTGAATCCTTATAAATGTTAATCAATTTCTTGCCTGAAGCAGTTTCCCCAATGATTGGATGAACCTTCTTCAGCTTACTCCATTTCTGGATTTGCATTCCTAGGGCTGTCTTTTCAAAGCAAAAATGATTTACTTATGGATTTTGCAGCAAAAGAATGGTGATTTTTGCCCCATCAATTTAGTTCAATTTTCATCTGCTGAGTCAAAGTTGCGGTAGAGGAGCAAAATGAAGTGATGTATTCATCAGCTTTACTTGACAATCACTGTCTCATAAGAATGCAAACCATGAATGAATATCCTTATTCCTTCGTCAATCAGAGCATGAAAAATAACGCTTACCCATGAGCGTGTTAAGGCCATCAGTCCAATAATCAAAGACATGTTCATCCATTGCAATGAAATCCAAGCTCCTGGGCATATCAGATGTATAATGCAGGGAGAATGCTAGTCCTGCCAGACCAGCTGGGGCCTTTTTGCCTTTCCAGTCTTTTCCTAGCTTCATATGGGGTGTATCTTTCCCCACTGATAGATTCTCAACTTCAGATATCGGAAGTTTGTTTGATAGTTCCTCTATGCTAGGTATGGAGCGTTCATCACAGTCACCATAGTAGAGTACTTTGTGGTTTGGTGACAGCCGACAATACCAGTATTTCCCTTTCTCTCTCTAAAGAAAAGAAAAGAAGGGGATTGTAAACACAAAAAAATAGCAGACAAAGGAATTTACAGTTCATTTCAATGGTGAATTATCATCATAAAATGGGTCAAAGGACAATACTCTCTTGCCAATGTAACACTATGGAGAAACTGTGTGAACACATTGTTGAGGGATTACAAATTATTTTGTCTGAACTTGAGTAATTGCCATGTTGGACAGATTGCATTCTTGCATTCTATTTTGTAGATCGATATCTAACCAATTAGATAGATATTGTATGATACCTATCTGATGATTCTGACTGTGCATGAGGAATGGTATCAAATGCTTTCTTCAAATCTAGAAATATCCCAACTGCAAAGAATCAAAGACAAACTGGAAAATGAAAACCTGCACATTGTATGAGTCCAAGGAGTATTGGGAGGAGATAAAGCAATTCTGTTGCACTAATTGAGGAGTTCTCTAGAAAAAGGGTATATGTGTAAAAGATGCAATTCGAGATAAACAATAAAAACTTCCCATAGCTAATCTGAAGCTGGTCAAAACTTATCAGTAAAATGTTATCTTAGACCTTTTTCCAATTAACTTGGGGTTTTCATTAATTTCTTTTTCTCACATTGCTGGGATCCAGGCAGTAAGTATTTACGCACATATGCCCTTTTTCCATATCCACCCTACTAAAACTTTTTCCGAGTCTTTCACCACTCCTTTCCAGTTAAAAATAATAATTAATCAATAAATGCATCAACAGATTTCAAACAAACTCTTTCTTGAAGAATAGCAATGAAAATGTGAATTTTCAGGACACGTTTGATTCACCAATCCCTCAGCAGTGATCCATTATTAATTTATTCATCATCTGAATCAGCATCTATTTCATGGATATCTCCAACTTCTCACATCCTTCCAGAGGCTTGAATGACTGGGCCTCTTTCTTTCCCTTTCTTCATGTCTGGTTTCTTCTTAATTTTCACTTTTAGTTTAAAAGGACTAAATAATTCCACCAAAATCGTTCTGCATGCAAGTGCCAATGGAATTTTTCAAGGAGGCAGCCATATTGAAATTGCCAGGCAATTAATTGGCCTGCTATATAGTGAGAGCATAGAAAAATCTGCTTCTCCTTTGCTGAATACACATGTTAACTACTTGCTGACCATCCTATCCTACGACTAGTCACCTAAAGCAGCACATAAACACTAATATGGAAAAAGGGTGTATGGGCACATACGCCCTTTTTCCAGAGAACTCCTCAATTACACTCTCCCACCTGAAGTGAAGTTTTTCTTAGGATGGCCTTTTATTGGTATCACTTTTTAAATTACTTTGGGAGTACTCACTGTTCCTTTGGAGAACTTATTGAATCTTGTCCCTTGCACAAGGTAATTGAGCCTCTGTTGTGCAATCAAAGCTTCAATCTCAGGCATGAGTTTCCTTTTTAACTCCAGAATGGGAGGGGCCTGGGATTCTGACTCCTCCCGGTTCAATCGTTCTTGCTTCCAGAGTTCTTTGATTTCCTTGTAGTTTAGGCGATAGAGCCTCTCTTTAAACTCTTCCATTGTTTCAGGAGGGGGTTTCTCCCCAATGGTTCGGGTAATCTGTTCCTTGACGACACTTAACACCTGAGCAATATCTGCTAATGTTGCCCTCATTTCCCTCCATGTCTTGTTTAAAAGCACAATGCAGATGCTAAATGTTTCCTCAAAAGCTTTCTCACAAGTGAAGAACATTGGCTGAAAGTTGCTCCCTTGTTCTAATGGGCTCTCTCCTATTCCAAGAATTTCACACAATGCTCTAGTTAGAAGAATAGATGTTCGAGCAAATGGGCACTTGTGATTATCAGAGCGACAGGAATTCTCCAACACAAGACCCATAAATTTTTCTTTGTGATAAGTTGCAAAATAGTGCATACAGTCCAATGCAAGGATACCAGGAGGAGCTACATCAAAGTCAAGAGAAGGATTCAATTCATTTTCAAATCCAAGTTTTCTGTGGTCATCTGCATATCGACGAGACTCAACTTCTTGGTCAAAGGCTATGGTCCGAAGCTTCTTGATCTTCTCAGTAGCATCTGGATTTGGGTTCTGAGGATCAAGTCTTGTATTCATCCGATCTGCATCTTGATTAAGTAACAATGTCTGAAGGACATATAGTTGATGAGCCATTTCAGCTTTCATGCTTTTGGTTGATAGCACCTCAGTCACAATCAAATTCTTGACTTCCGACTCTGTAATACAGGCAATCTGCTTCTTTTTTATGCCATCAGCTTTAGCAAAGAGTGCATTAATCAATGCAATCACATTCTGCTGCACCATTTCACTGGGATTACGAAGATGTGGTATGAGGTGGATCAATTGTACATCTTTCTCAACAACGGAATATTTCTCAGGGCTGGTCTGGACAAGATTTTCCAGGATCCCCAGGCAGGATTGAATGGTACGTCGATCCATGGTACCACTGCTTTTTGTTATGTAATTTGCTATTTTGCGAATGAAACCAGATTCCAGACTTTCCCATGGTTCTATCCCCAGTTCCATCAACTCCAAGAAAGATACCAAAACAAGAGCAAGGCAGTCTTCTGAATACTTTCCTTCCTCAACAGCACTAATCAAAAGACTCAGACCTCCCTTTTGTATGAATTCTTTAGCAAATGTAACATCACCACTCAGCTTCTCTAATTTTTCCAGGGCTTCCAGTTTCTCCTCTCTTGTACTTGATAAACGAAGTTTCCCAAGAATTTCCTCCACAATTCGAGGAGGACTCGGGACCAATTCAAGGACAGCTCCATTTTTTATATCTTGCCTATTATCTTCTGTGATGTATCGATGACAACCTTCGATATTCTGAAGTGCATACTTTTCAGGTTCAGTCACATTCCATTCCATACACAATGACTGAATTATTTCTGTCAATGGATGCAGTTGATTCAACTTTATAAGTTGAGGAGTCTTTGTACCCATTTTCACAGCCAACTTGACAATGTTGTTCATAGAGCTCTCCCTTGACATAATTGTTGCTCCTACACCAGAAGTCATGGCAACAGGTCCAAATGTTTGACTGAATATGATCTAGAAGACACAGAAAAATTATACCCACAATTGAACTGGGTCATAGGCTTATAGGCTATGATGATGTGTGACTGAATTCTTCCCCTAATCCCAAAGCTAGAGGGTGAGGATAGCACTCAGAAAATGACTTTAAAGACCAGTAGTGAGTGGCCAACCCATGGCCTACAGGCAAAAAGTGGCCCATGAGGTCCTAACTTGCATATGGCCTGTGTTGGCTGTGGGATTGAACTATGTGACTCCCAAGCCAAAAAGATTGGGCACCACTGTTATACACCCTAGGTTTAATATTTTAATTCAATGGCAGCTCAGATGTAGTTGTTTCAACTTGACTAATGTCAACACTTTCCAGTTAAAAAATTTGTTTACTAACTGCTGCAGTGAACTAGGCAATTTGGTCAATTTCACACATTCTACAAAACAAAAAGTAACTGACCAAAACTCACCTATCCAGTGATTTGCACTTCCATCCAAAAGTGGATTTTCAAAATATAACAACTCATCACTGAAATTATGTGATGCTTAGGTATGAATTTACAAACCTCATCTATGGGAGATAAAGGGGCCTTTAAGCTAAAGAGCTCTTTTGCCCCCACAAGAGCCCATGTATTTCTAAAAGACCATTAGCTACAGGAGGTTTCAACATTCAGGCCTTAGTCTTGAGTTATTTTAATGTTATCAAGTCAAATGTGATGTTCCAGCTGGCATGTGTTAAAAGCATACACCTAATGCTTCCTCTGGTCAAGTCTCATGATTCATGATTTCCTTCCCTTCTAATACCTACTCTACCTAGGAAAACCTACAGACAGGCTTTCTACATACCAGGCCAGGGCTCCTACAATCAAATAAAAATGCCCCCTTAAGCATGTTTACCAACATTTTGCATTAAAATTTAGAGTATCATTGAACCTTAGGCAGTGAATATAAAAACTAGACATTTTCCCACAAGCTGAATTTAAAGGCACAGTGGTGGAACTTCCTTTACCTAGTAGTGCCATGGGCCAACGAGTTAAGCCGATGATGAAGTTCATATTCTACTAGTGGCACTGTGCAGTGTCATGAATGCCTAAATTCAGGGGAAGGAGCATGGCTGTTCTACATACCATTATTTAGCCGGTGGTGTTTTTCTCAAGTTAGACAATTTTTCACTTGACTCAGACACGTGCATGGGTTATTCCTCATGCATGAGTCTCGAAGTCAAGTGAAAAAATGTCTGACTCAAGTGAAAAACACTATAGAACTCGCGGAGGTAGAACAATGCTTTTCCATTAAAAAAAAAAAGAGGGACTAGGATGGAGCAAGGAATTTCATGAGGGCCTTATGAGTAGGCCTATGAACAAGCACCTCAACAGATTGTGTAGGCAGAGAATCCCCCAGCGCATCTACGCCGTTTATGCGGAATACGATTACACTGTTGCATTGGATCTGCCCCTCTTGCAAGCAGAAGGCAGAGTGCAAAAATCCTACACAGACATCCTGCATCAATGCTTTCAGCGGAACACCACATTCGTCGCCATGGCTGCGCCTCTTGCAACAGTCGCTGACATTAAGCTAGTGAAGAGAGTTTAGAAAGGCCATCGCTCATTTCGTGTAACTATGAATGCCACCACCTTCTCATGACAACCTCCTCCCCCCAATCCTAATTCATAGAGGTTAAAGTCACGAGCCTGCTAAGGAATCGGAATGAGCGTCCAGTGCCGTATTTTGGCTGAAGAAGCAGGGGGGGCAAGGCAGCAGAGTTGGAGCGCCAACCCGAGCGATACCAAGGGAGAAAATTATACCGAACCAACTTGATTCTGGCCCCACGTGCTGGAAAGGAAGATCTATCCGGGATGGGAAGAGCAGATAATGAGGAATCCCCCTCAAGGCATTTATGCTGAGACGGGAGGGAAAGGGATAGAGAAACACGAAGAAACCAGACAGCGAAGACAAATTCCCTATTCGAATCTCGGCATGGGAAGAACGATCGCCTTCAGGATGCCTTCTCTGACCTGTCTGTGACAAAATGCCAGAGAAAGCCTTCGATCTAGCATGCATAATAGAGCATCCTCCAAGAAAGAGAATCTTCACTCTTCTACAACAAAGGGGTGCAGATGGATGGAGATTCTCTTTCGACGGAAATTGACGTCAATTTCCATGAAACGGCCAGGATCTTGCCCAGCGAAGTAACTAAATTTCTCATATGAGGGGTTCTGTTTCAATTTCAACACCGAAGTTAGTTGGCTGTTACTTCTTCGCTCTTTCCCATTGATGAGACTGGACTGAGATTAATACAGGTCAAATCTTGTTACAACAAACTTCAAGGGAGTGTCCAGATTATTTCGTTGTATCGAATATTGCTCGAAATAAGACAAAAGAAACATTCTTTATCCAAATTAGCTATGCCTTCTAACGTACAGACCACAGATGCAGTAATTTTCCACTTTTATTTGGAGAAAATCTGTAATTTCGGATTGCACAAGAGTATTTGTTGCCTTGTGAATGTCATCGTAGAGGGCACCAAGCATTCCCTTTCGTCTTGGTTCCAGAGCCGCTTTCCTCGCCTTTTCTTCAATTTTGGCACGATCCTTCAAGAACGTGGATAACGTAGAGGGAGTGATGCCGAATTCTTTTGCCACGTCTCTTTTTTTCATGTCGGAATTGAGATCTTGCTGAAATACGTAGTGAACGATCCTTATCAAAACAGGAGGAATACACATTGCTACGTTGCCAATGGAATCCTGACCACTGTTGTTTTCCCCAGTGGCGCAGCGTGGTTGGCATGGGCCCTGGTTAATGTCGCGTCGACTTCCTTTGATTCCTTTTGACCTTCCTTTTCGGCTGCTGGCTCTCACCTCGCCCCGATGCCAAGGGGCTTCCAGCAAACGCCTCACCCCCACCCCCCTCCCCTGCCTTCCCCCAACTTTGTATCATAGCTCGGTGTATGAGCTCCTCCTGCTTCCACTACTTTCATTTTTTTATTATTTCAACGAAAACTGTCGGCGTTTCTTGTTTGTCCTTGTTAGCCATGTCTGTGGGATGGGGCGCACAGGTACACTGTGTTGTCAGTGATGAGGTTTTGGCCACGACTAGCCAGCGCTGACAACTGTACGTTCCTCCTTGTGCTAACACACCCATCCAAAGGGAAGGAGGGGGCTGTCGCGAACCACAGACGATCGTCTCTTCGTAAGCAATCCGGTATTACATTTTTTTTCGTTAAAACGAGTGCCTATTATACACACAAGGACTGGAAAAAAGCGTTCGTTGTACTGAATTATTCGTTGTAACGAATTTCGTTGTAACGAGATCTACAAAGTACCATTACTGTGGGCCATCGGCCTGGGCTTGGAAATATTTTCGTTATTGTGAGATTTTCGTTGTAAAGGAATTCGTTGTAACGAGATTAGACCTGTATTCAACGAGGAGGTAACATGACTCTGGTTGTTGCGACTTCAACCCACGGACTCTTTCATTCTAGGATGTTATAATGGACATTCTCTGGAGAAATTTGTGAAAACTTTTGAGATGAAAGAGTGCCAAAATAGGAGCAGAAAACGAAACTCATCATGGAAAACTGTATGGATGGACGAAAGTTGGTCCCCCCACCCCATACCCGTCCCATATTATAAAATTCCTGCCGCAATACAGCCCTATTTGAACACGATTGAATCAATTTCCTCTCCAGTCAAAGCTGAGAGATGAGTACTCTATCAGCTCCCCTTACCGATAGCCACTATGCTGCTGCTGTGTCTTGGGCACAATATCACAGAAACATTCTTGAACAAATTGTGCGTGGCTCAATAGAATTAGCTTACAATGTCGAATTTTACCACAGGGGGTATTCATACGTTTACAGTCAGGTCATTGAATGGAGAAGTCGTTTCAAAATAAAGTATGGTTGGGTTTCAAACAAGACGCTTGGCAAGATCTTGAATTTCGTTTCTTGCTAAGTCTAGATAAGATGTCCTCCAAAGTTTAACGCCTAGTCAAGTAGGAATATTGACTTATTTGTTTGGTTTTTTCTCCCCTCATTTGACCTGTCCACCGTGTCAGACGTGACATCCGGAGTAATATGTTTGATATACAAAATGTATTGAACTATATTATAAACGATGAATCAACATAAAAAGGTTGCAACATTTTGCTCTCGCCAGTGACTGAAAATTCCATAATCCCAAGTCTTGTGTACTCTTTTTTGATTGAGTTGTACCTATGTGCGAAGAAAAGTGTCAGACGTGACATTTTATGAAACTTTTAAGTCACTTACTGTAATGTTCAAATTCTGTCAGAGCGGAACCTAATAGCATAGTCTTATGCTCATTCTATAGTTTAAATGAAAGCCTTTTATTAGTATAAGTGACCTGAAGCATATTGAAAAGCTCATTAAGAAGGTCGTACCTAGGGACCCGATACAAGACGCAGGATGTAATAGAAAGATAAAAGCAGCCCTTC